TTATTTGGATTTTAGTAAAGCCTTCGACAGAGTACCTCACAAGAGACTCTTAAGAAAAGTGGCAGCTCATGGTATAGGAGGTAAAGTTCTAGCATGGATTGAGGCATGGCTTACCAATAGAAAGCAGAGAGTTACCATTAATGGAGTGAAATCTGAATGGGGATTAGTCACTAGTGGCGTTCCACAGGATCAGTTTTAGGCCATCTCTTGTTCATAATTTACATTAATGACCTTGATGAAGGGATTACTAGTGACATGAGTAAGTTTGCTGATGATACAAAGATAGGCCGTATAATTCACTCTGAGGAGGATATCAATGAACTCCAGGACGATTTGAACAAATTAATGTCTTGGTCTGAGAAATGGCAGATGAAGTTTAATGTGGATAAGTGTAAGGTACTTGCCCTTGGTAATGAAAATAACCCTCGAAGCTATAATTTAGGTGAAGTAGAGCTTGGTCATACAGAATGTGAAAAAGACTTGGGAGTCATGGTAAGCAGAAATCTAAAGCCAAGACAGCAGTGCCTCAGTGTGCGCAACAAGGCCAGCAGATTACTTGGATTTATCTCAAGAAGTATAAGTAACAGAAGTCCAAAAGTTATTTTACAGCTCTATACATCACTAGTGAGGCCTCATTTAGATTATGCTGCTCAGTTTTGGTCCCCTTACTACAGGATGGACATAGACTCATTAGAAAAACATGCAGAGAAGAATGACTAAAATGATTTACTGTGTAAGGAACCTCCCGTATGAAGATAGACTTAAATCTCCACTCTCTGGAGAGGCGTAGAATGAGGGGAGATATCATTGAAGTGTATAAGTGGATGACGGGCATAAACAAGGGAGACATTAATAAAGTACTGAGGGTGTCGAACCAGGTAAGAACCAGGAATAATGGATTTAAGTTGGATAAATTTAGATTTAGAAAGGACATAGGTAAGTACTGGTTTTCTAACAGAGTTGTAGATGCGTGGAACAGTCTTCCCAGTGGGGTGATAGAGGCTAGGACCTTGGGTAGCTTTAAGAAGAGACTGGACAAATATATGAGCGGGAGGGGCTGGGTTTGATTGGTGTTGGGGGGTGCGGGAGTTTTTTCTTTAGTAGCTTTAGGTAGATGTCGTTTTGATAAGGACCTGCCTCGTATGGGCCAGTAGGCCTTCTGCAGTGTTCCTACATTCTTATGTTCTTATGTTCTTATGTTTCAGTTTTTCAAAGTCTCCAAATCGTTTCTCAAACTCGCTAGATAAAATTAAAATTTTCTAACAAAACATGAAAAGTCAGACTCGATATCATCTGCTATGAGTTCATGACAAGAAGTAAAGTGTACAAGATAATTTCTTTCCTAAACACACACTAAATAGCTGCAGCTTCTTGCGGAAAGCTTCAATGTGTCCAACTAGTTGAGAAATAATTTGTTTGCCTTGTAAGCTGATATTCAGCATATTTAAGTGGGCTGTCATGTCTATTAGGAATGCTACGGTGCAAAGAAAGTCTTTATCTTGCAGCTAAGCTTGGTACATCTGTATATTGCTCAGCTGTTCATTTTGAAAAAATGATAGGGTATCTTTCCGAAGAGCAAGGAAATGTTGGATAATTTTTCCAGTACTCAGCCACCTGATACTTGAGTGCAGTGGTAGGTAATTGAATTCTGTGTTTAGTTCTTCAAGGAAAAACATGAATTTTGTGTCTCTGTGACTTATTACCGCCTCTGCTGACAACACTCTGCATGACATCAATCATCTGTAATACCTTGCCACATAATGCTTCTTGGTGGATAATGCAGTGTAATGTGATACAATCAATTTTGTTTTCCTTCAGGAAGTCAACTAACCTGACAATATTGTCGGCTATAACTCTTGCACGATCTGTTAAAATACAGGGACGCATGCTGAACACGTCCCCACTCTGTACTAATCATGATCATGGAGTGGGATTCTCACTCGACTGTAACGCTGTCATTCTAGTAACATAGTATTATTTCTCATACATAACCTATGCGTCGCACATACTTAATGTTTCTTTAATGAAAATAATTTAATAAATCAGTATATTAATATGAGTGCTCGCGGGCTACAAAAAATCCACCCGCGGACCAGTAGTAGAACCATCTTGTTCTATATATAATAACAGATTAACATAGTAAGGTAATTTAGATACCACTAATTAATGAATATAAAATCGTTGTCTGTATGATTTTTTTTTCTATTTTGGTCATCGGCGGAGTAGCGATGGAGGCTCCAGCAATAGTCTACCATCAGGGGTGTTTCCCATCTCCCTTGATACCTTTCCTCCATCACTTTTATATCGTGATGGAACTTCTCCCCATGTTCCTCACTGGTCTTACCAAGATTGTGGAAATCTGCCTAGGTTTATATGGAAAAAGTGTACCTTTGTGCTCATATTAGTACCTTTGAACTTGTATGACCAGAGCTTTGGTAAGATGGGGAAGAAAGAAGGATGGGTAAGGATGGAAATATGGGAAAGGGTAGGTGGGGTGAGGTTAGGTTAGTACCTAAATTCTCGAAGCTTGTCAGCATGTTTTGCACCAGTTCTTCATAATTGTCTGCTTTGTGATTACCCAGAAGTTCTTGACAACTGACACATAACTGTACCATGCAGAAGCTTCAATACCGTTCATACATTTTGTGAAATTAGAATCCTTGATAACCTTTCGAATCTGAGGACTATCGAAGATTCCAGCTTTCAGTTTTTCCATACTTAGTCCAGGGAACGATCTACGAATGTATTTGAAGCAATTGCATAATTAGCCCTAACTTAATGTGGAGTGGTGGCAGAATATTATCCCTGTCAACCAATGGCTCGTTAATGATGTTTGCTGCACCTACAGTCATGCTTTCTCTTGAAGGCCATGTCACTTTTGTCCAGCGATCTGCCTTCACTCTACTATTCCACATACAGAGAAACAATGGTACTTCGTATATCCACTCTGTTTCTCAAGCAAGAAGTTTACCATTTTCAGATCAACACAAATAGACATCACGTGCTCATAAAAGCAATGCTTCTGCAATATCATTTTGAAAGAGATGCATATTGGTTATTGTTGTGCAATAAGACACATTTCAAGCTTCTAATGGAGCTGTTTATAAACAGCCACCAATCTCTTACTCGATATTCAAGTCCCATTCGAAGAAGTCCAGGGATGATATTGCAGTATATAAGTTCTTCATCTTGGCTGTAGTAAGGCAGGAGTTCAACCTCTCTTGTCCAATAAACTGTTTTTTTAACTCCTTGTTATAAACAGTTCTTTTCTTTTAGTCTGGATGGTAAAAGTTCAGATGCTTGCTTTGACAAACTGAGGTCACGAACTGCTGTGGTGTTGAAATGTTTACTTCATACTCACTTCCACTTCTATCACCTGTGTTACATCCTAAACCGTGAGTTTCTTCAACATCTGGTAACAGAAGGTCAGGCAGTGTTGTAAACACTACCTGACACAGGTCTTTCACATCCACCATACAGAAATAACAGTCGTCATGATGGTTTTTTGACTCTCTCCACACCATAAACACACCCAAATTTAAACTTTTCCTTTGACTATTTTTCCACTGCCGTAAGCATTCTGCACAAGTTTTGCAAACCGTATGGGGTGCCCAAGAGTTGATTAAGACACATATGCAACAGTTGGGTCACTTTATTGTTGAAACGTTTCGCCTACCCAGTAGGCTTTTTCACTCAGATACAGAGATAGCAGGAGTAGTGAAATTTCACTACTACTCCTGCTGGCTCAGTATTTGACTGAAGAAACCTAATGTGTAGGTGAAACATACGTTTCAGTAATAAAGTGACCCAATTGTTGCACATGTCTTAATCATCAAGTTGTCGGTATTCTATACCATTATCAACGTAAGACTTGTTCTCCAGCGCCACTCCAGAATAAACAAGATAAGCTTGTGTTACAAAATCTGTTATTTTTTTCTTTGTTTTTGTAAAGAGTATTCCCCACAAATGTACCAAAATGCATTGGAATTATTTAAGCAGCTCCTCGTGAAAACACTCATATATCTGCAAAAATAACAAAACAGAGGTTACAATGTTGTTAACTGATTCTTGTTGATAAAACTCTTTTCCTTAAATATTAAATAATTTTAAAATAAAATTCTAATATTTATTTAAAGTATCTGTATATACAAATTGTCACTACATATACACACGTTATGGCTAGGTTTCCTCTTAACTGAGAGTAGTTATGTAGTATCTCACAAACTAGAGCCACTTTGAAACACCTGTAGTTTTCGAATTCAACAAGATCGTCATTACATAGAAACCAAGATTTACAGCTACTACTACCCCAACCCCACCCCCAACAACACCCAAACCCCCCCCCATCCAATCCACCCAACCCACCCCACCAACCCACAACCAAACCCCACCCACCCCACCACCACCTTGTATTGTTTATATTGACTTGAGAAAGCTCCTGCAAAGACAAACACTGACACAACAGATTATTTCATTACATGTGTATGTCATTTTACCTTACACATTGTTGGTAATTCTGCCAACATTACTGACACCCTGCAAGATATTAATGATACACCCACCACATCACCTTGCAGGGTGTTGTGCTGGGTGTTGTCTTAACAAGCTACTCATGTGTAGTCAGTGGTTACTAACTCATGTTTCCTGTTTATTCCAGGTTGCTGATCTGGTTCACTTTCACTAACGCTTCTTTTAAGAATAATACTATTTGTATTCGGCTTTACGATGCTTTTTAAGTTATTCACAATTTGCTTGGTGGCACAGTGTAAGGTTCATTACAAGACAAGACCCAGGTTTGATTCCAGGGCTGGGCGAGTGATATGGGCAGGTATTACTGCACCTGCTGCCGCTATTTACCTAGAAATGCCTACCTGGGAGTCAGTTGTCTGTCATGTGGCATAACGATTAGGCTGAGTTTTCAAGTGAGCCAAGGCAAGATAGCAGCTCTTGACCTGTTAACTATATATGAAACTGCCCCCCAAAAAATATTTGATATGTAGTGCAACTACTGATGTGGTACTTTCATCCACAGTTGCGACGTCGCAGCCCGAGGCCGTGAACTACATGCACCTGCATCGCACTCCCTCTGAAGCCAGGGAGGCCGGTTACGCTCTCCACGCAGAGCACAAGCCTCGCCTCAGCGACATCTACTTCACAGGTGAGTCTCGGTGTGCCCTGGGTACACCTGACTTCTTGAAACTGTTCCTGTGAGAATTTTTTGAGTCCTAGTTGCTGTTTGTGTTCCGTGGCTCGGTTGGTAGAGCACTCGGCTCACACACTGAGTGTCTGTGGTTCGATCTCCGGTACGGGTGGGACATTGGGCGTGTTTCCTTAAAACACCTGTTATTGTTCATCTAGCAGTATGCAGGTACCTGGGTATTAGCCGACTGGTGTGGGTTGCATCCTGTGGACAAAATTAAACTAAATAGTCAGAAATGCTCTGCATATCTAGATGCATGTGGGTTGATGTCAGCCATGGTATGTATAAGTTGTACCATGTACTTGTAGAAGTAAATATTATTATTATTATTATTATTATTATTATTATTATTATTATTATTATTATTATTACTATTTGGCACTATCTGTGAGTCGCTGAGGCTACGAACAAGTTTCTTATTGTCTGTGCAGCTGTATGATCTCTGTGTTTATCGCTTGTTTTTAATATAATAATCTCGTATTGTCTGTATTTTTAACTTTTATTAAGTTCTAATATCGGTGGAGTGAGGATGATATGGAAATATCTATTGAGTGGTAATATCCTGGAAATGGTTATAAAATAAGACTCAAAATATTAGTGGAATGAGGCTGGTGTAGCAGTGTCTGTGGAATGATAACCTGAGACTATACTGAGTAGAGCCGCCGGCTCAAGGTGCAGTTAGCAACTCGGAAGACGAGACGAATTAGGACTGATGAAGACGTGGCACTCCTCGACGTAGTTAATACTCCATACTCATGAATATGTGTATCCAAACAATTAGTGTTGTAACAGAGACGTTGATTGGTATATGAGTTATCGATTTCTGTATGTAATATTAATCCATTGTCTTAGTTAGGACCGGAGAATAAGTGTGCTAGAGAAATTAGGATATTTCTGTTCATTTTCTCTGACGAAGACTATAAAAGCCGATAATCATAGTGTAATATTCGCATTATTTAACCCTGATTACTTCTTATTCTTTTGTACAGGGTTTTACAAGGTTGGGTTAAGGTTCCTAACTTTATTTACAAGCTAAGAGCTGTTACCTACATCAGTTCGCGTGAGAGTCTTTTTTAATATTATGAGATATACAAATATGGAGCAGGACTAAGTTGGAGCTGTCTGTGGGAGAGCGATTTCATTTGGTCAACTGACTTTATTTCGTTCATGTTATTATGCTGTACGAACATGTTCCAGACACACGTCTCGCTAGGAATAAATGATCATAGATCAAACAATGTTCTGGAGTGAAGTTGCTGTTTGCTGCCCGTCTTGTTGTGTAGAAACTCATTCCTCACTGCCCATGGAGTGGAGCCAAGTGTGGTACATACACAATATTGGTCTTGTACATGATAGTAAGGGCGAGAGATGAGCCGTCCTGCTCTGTTCTCTATACTGTCAAGAAGTTGCAGATGAGACAGAGAGCAGGTAGTCCAAGAAAACAGAGCATTACTCAAGGTGTGAATGCATTTTATGCTTTGTACATAATCTTGCAACCTTTACTATCGAGAAAATGGTGCACCGGTTCTAGGTCTGAGCTTGGTGATGGCTGTGTTCCGGTGAGGTGGTGCACAGGTTGTAGGGCTCAGCTAGTTGATGGCTGTGTTCCGTTGAGGCGGTACACAGGTTGCAGGGTCAGCTAGTTGATGGCTCTGTTCCGGTGAGGTGGTGCACAGGTTGTAGGGCTGAGATAGTTGATGCCTGTGATCCGGTGAGGTGGTGCACAAGTTGCAGGGCTGAGATAGTTGATGGTTGTGTTCCGGTGAGGTGGTGCACAGGTTGTAGGGCTGAGGTAGTTGATGGCTGTGTTCCGGTGAGGTGGTGCACAGGTTGTAGGGCTGAGGTAGTTGTTGGTTGTGTTCTGGTGAGGTGGTGCACAGGTTGTAGGGCTGAGGTAGTTGATGGTTGTGTTCCGGTGAGGTGGTGCACAGGTTGTAGGGCTGAGGTAGTTGATGGCTGTGTTCCGGTGAGGTGGTGCACAGGTTGTAGGGCTGAGCTAGTTGATGGTTGTGTTCCGGTGAGGTGGTGCACAGGTTGTAGGGCTGAGCTAGTTGATGGCTGTGTTCCGGTGAGGTGGTGCACAGGTTTTACGACTGAGCTGGGTCATGGCTCTATTCCGGTGAGGTGGTGCACAGGTTGTAGGGCTGAGGTAGTTGATGGCTCTATTCCGGTGAGGTGGCGCACAGTTTGTAGGGCTGAGCTAGTTGATGTCTGTGTTCCGGTGAGGTGGTGCACAAAACAGCTACCGTTTTGAGCGGTGATGTCAGTAGTGATGAGAGCCGATTCAAACTAGCGCGTGACATAAAAATTTATTTTACATTATAAGCATCAGAATGGCAGTATAAATGTATACATTATATAAATCTTATGTGATAAGAATGAATTTAGTTTAGCTAATACAAGCCACCAGCAGATATACATGCCGCTAGCAAACTGCTGCGGCTAACTGTCGCTAAAGAAATTGTGATCACAAGTGACATCAGTCTTCTTTTGACATTACGTATTTGATATTGATTATTTAATGTATATAATAATTGTAAAATGAAAGCAGACTTGCCAAATATGAAGAAAATTGTATTAAAAAATTAACATTACACTACTTAAATGTGTGTGTGGGAGGGGGTGAGGGGTGCAAGGTGAAGTAGAGAATATCCAAAGTACTTTTGGATTTAATAATGTTTCGGCTGTTTGATTTTTTTTATACATATATCACTCAGGTATGTTTATTGTTACCAAGATAGTAAATGCATTTAAGAGTAAGAATAGTAGTTTATGTATGTAATATATATATATATATATATATATATATATATATATATATATATATATATATATATATATATATATATATATATATATATATATATATATATGCAAAACAACCACTCTGAAAGAATAGAGAAATTCCAAGCGCTTTCGTGACTACTCACGAATTTCTCTATTCTTCCAGAGTGGTTGTTTTGCATATTCTGAAATCACCTGTTTACTGTGATCTTATTGCATATATATATATATATATATATATATATATATATATATATATATATATTATATATATATATATATATATATATGTCGTGCCGAATAGGCAGAACTTGCCATCTTGGCTTAAATAGCAATGCTCATCTTGCCATATAGGACAAGCGAAAATTTGTGTATGCAATAATTTTGCCAAAATCATTCTGAACCTAACGAAAAAAATATATTTCACTGTGTTTGTTTAATATTAAATTATTGTAAACAAATCTAAAATATATTTAGTTGGGTTAGGCTAAAATAAATTGTTCTTGTTATAACTTAGGTAAGTTTTCTAAGACTCTTTTGTAGCAAAATTAAAAAAAATTACATTAACATTAATGAAAAAAATATATCTTTAAACGTATAAGAGAAAATTTTAGAAAGGACTTAATTTTAAATGAGTTCTTGCTAATTGACCAGTTTTACATATTCGGCACGAGTTATATATGTATATATATATATATATATATTTTTTTATTATCACACTGGCCGATTCCCACCAAGGCAGGGTGGCCCGAAAAAGAAAATTTTTCACCTTCATTCACTCCATCACTGTCTTGCCAGAAGGGTGCTTTACACTACAGTTTTTAAACTGCAACATTAACACCCCTCCTTCAGAGTGCAGACACTGTACTTCCCATCTCCAGGACTCAAGTCCGGCCTGCCGGTTTCCCTGAACCCCTTCATAAATGTTACTTTGCTCACACTCCAACAGCACGTCAAGTATTAAAAACCATTTGTCTCCATTCACTTTTATCAAACACGCTCACGCATGCCTGCTGGAAGTCCAAGCCCCTCGCACACAATACCTCCTTTACCCCCTCCCTCCAACCTTTCCTAGGCTTACCCCTACCCCGCCTTCCTTCCGCTATATATATATATATATATTATATATATTATATATATATATATATATATATATATATATATATATATATATATATATATATATATATATATATATATATATATATATATATGATTATAGATGTTATGAATGAGAAGAAACTCGATGTCCTGGCTTTAACTGAAACAAAGCTGAAGGAGGTGGGAGAGTTTCAGTAGGAAGAAATAAATGGGATTAAGTTAGGGGTTTCAAACAGAGTTAGAGCTAAAGGAGGAGTAGCAATAATGTTGAAGGATAAGTTATGGCAGGAAAAGAGGAAATATGAATGTATTAATTAAAGGATTATCTGAAGTAAAATAAGGGTTGGATGTGAAAAGTGGGTTATAGTAAGCGTTTATGCACCTGGAGAAGAAAGAAGTGTACAGGAGAGAGCGAGATTTTGGGAAATGTTGAGTGATTGCGTAGGGAGTTTTGAACCAAGTGTGAGAGTAATGGTGGTTGGGGATTTCAATGCTAAAGTGGGTAAAAATGTTGTGGAGGGAGTAGTAGGTAAATTTGGGGTGCCAGGGGTAAATGAAAATAGGGAACCTTTAATTGAGCTATGTGTAGAAAGAGGTTTGCTAATAAGTAATACATATTTTATGAAAAAGAGGATAAATAAGTGTACAAGATATGATAGAGCATGTAATGAAAGTTTGTTAGATTAAGTATTGGTGGATAAAAGGTTGATGGGCAGGCTTCAGTATGTTTATAGAGGGGCAACAGATACCGGATCATTATTTAGTTGTAGCTACAGTTAGCATAAAAGGTAGATGGGACAACAGGAAAATGGCAACAGTAAGTAAGAGAGAGGTGAAAGCGTATAAACTAAGGGAGGAGGAAGTTAGGGTGAGATATAAGCAACTATTGGCAGAAAGGTGAGCTAGTGTAAGTATGAGTAGTGGGGGGGGGGGTTGAAGAGGGTTGGAGTAGTTTAAAAATGCAGTATTAGAATGTGGGGCAGAAGTTTGTGGCTATAGAAAGGTGGGTGCAGGAGGAAAGAAGAATGATTGGTGGAATGATGAAGTAAAGGGTGTGATAAAAGAGAAAAAGG